AGCAAAATCACTGCCTTGGAAAAAAAAAAAAAAAAAGTAAAGCAAGAAGTAATATATCTTGATCCCTTTTCCCCCATAAAACCCTGGGAGGCTGGTGGAAGGAGCGGAAAGACTGAGCTAAGCCTGCAGGAAATTAAACATGAAATGAAAACAAGCTCAAGTTATTCAATTCTCTCATCCCAGGCTCCAATTTCCCATTCCAGGCCACTGATAAAATGGTGTCCAGTTTCAGCGCTCGAGGATGAATTCTGGCTCTGTTCTTGCAAGCTGGAGAGCGAAGGGCCTGTGGCCATCTCCGGGAAGAGGGGAGGCAGCCTGGCCCTTAGCAGGGAGACGGGGTCTTGGAGACGAGACAGACAGACAGACAGACAGACAGGCTGGGGCAGCGGGAGGCAGCAGTGGGGCTGGTGGGAGCAGCGGGGCAGGGGGCTGAGCGGGCAGCGGGACGGAGACCCACGGCCAGCCTGCATCCCACGAGCTGGGCGTGGGGCGCCTCATGGACCAGCCTCTTGTGCCTCGGCTTTGGCCAGCCAGGGAAACAACTCCTTTTTTTAAAAAAAAAAAACTTGGAGGAGGGACAAAAGTAATGGTGCAATTCCTGTGTCCTCCCTGGGCATCCACCTGAGGCCAAAGAGTCCTGGCACTACCCGCCGGAGCTGGGTGCGGGGTACATGGGAGGCAGCGGCAGCAGCGGAGGGGCAGGGCAGCAGCAGGGCTGGGGTGCAGGAAGCTCCCCCTTTCCTTTGTTTCAGCCTCTCTGCCCCCCGCAGCATGTCAGATGTGCGTGCATATGGATTTAGGTACCAGCATATGGCTGCATGTTGATGGAGACATGAAACATTTTCTGTGCTGTAGATTTTTATAGGACTGATTCGGTACATCAGGCCTTATCAAAGCATTGTCTGCAGGAGTCGAGTACATGACATTATCCTACACTCCCACTCTAATTGTTAACACTGAGATGCAGCCCACAAGGACTGCTTATTCCTGTGTGAAATCCCCCGTCCTGACCCCAGAGGACACACCGCACCAAACGCTGCAGTCTCTCCCGTCGCATCGCCCTCCCACAGCAGCATCCCTCGACTAAAGGTGACTTGCAATGAAAAGAAAACGGGCTTTCGTTAGACTGCCTTTCTAAAAGCAGTGCCTTCTGAGACTGAGGAAGCCAACAAACACTTAAAATTAGTTGGGTTTCTGCTGACATCTGTGTGTTGTACATTGTCCCGCCACTGTAGAGCACTGGCGAACCCCTACCAGAAGACACCAAGTAGCCTAAAGTAGCTTGAGCCAGAGGAGAAATGATAATTTGAAAAAGTGGTCCGAAACTTGTTGCAAGTGTTTTGGCTCAGCGGATCACTGCCAGCCCCCGGAGCTTCTCGAGCGCCCCAGGCAGCAGTCTCTTGACTGCAGACACTTCTCATTTTCAGCCGGACATGGCTCTGTGGCTGATTTGCCACGGACAAATCCCCACCAGCAGCGTGGGGATGGCAATTTGGGAACCACCAGTTTAAAGTGTTTTGCTTTTGCAAGTGTTGGTTGAATTCAACGCCCACAGGAACCGCTGCCCCGCCGCCCTCCTTGCCCGGGAGACGCCGGGCCTCGGGGGACGGCGCGGCAGCAGGGACACCGCAGCGCTGCCCACGGGGGAGGCGAAACGCAGATTCCCACGCCCCGCTTTGACGCCTTTGGAGGTGACACCCGCAAATGCGGGCACTGCTGCCGGAGTCTGCGTTTTCGCTCCATTCGCCACGCGGCGGGGGGACGGCTGCATATGCCTGGCACATGTTGGCCATGGCCTGCGCTGCGCTCCCTACCTGCTCCCCACCCCTCCGCGCACAGCGGCCCCCCCCACCCCCTCCGTGGAGG